TTGAATATACCAATTGAATGTTAAATGAGATTTTGTATATTTCGGATGATGAATAGGTGCTTCCCATGACCAAAATATCCATCGTTGTTTAAATGATGTACGATTTTGATTAGATAAATGAAAAGACCAATAAAAATCTTCAGCAAAAAAAAGTATAGCACTTGGTGAACGTTCTTTAAAATCTTCTATTCGACATGAAAATTCACATTTTTTTGGACATCTATCAAAATGAACAATATGACCACCATTATGAATACCTCGACAAATATTATCTCGTGTTTTAATTGAATGATTATGTGTATATAGAAGAATAAGTGCTAAGGATTGATTAGAATTATATCGAAAGATATTTAAATGTCCTATTAAAAATAAATATATACAAGTATAAATTGTAAATCCAAATAATAATGTAAACACTCGATTTCGCCATATGCATACATATTGAACAATAGTTAATAATACTGTTTTAATAGACATGAAGTTGTCTAAAAATAAATCATAGGTTTTAAAATAATAAATGCTATATTAACCTATAGCATAAAAGTCTTGTCATAAAATATTTGCTCATTTTTTCGGCCACTAAAAGAAAATTGCTTATATAAAATCTTTGATGCAAAAAAGTCACTATTAAGGACTTTTCGAGACAAAATATTTTTCTTTGTTTTTGGCTTCCTTGAAAGTGTTTTCCAGAAGTTAAATGCTATGGATTAGGACCAACACATTGTGCCCTTTCTGGATGTGGACTTAGAAATTTTATCTCAGTTTTTGTTTGAGAGTAATGAAGGAATTTTTAAAGGTCCAAAAAATTATATTGAATGGCGACCCAATAAGCTTTTGCTAATCTTTATAGGTTCTTTTTCAAAGGTGCGAAAAAATATTGGAGTCGGTTGTTTTGTCAAATGAACAGTTCTTTATAAAATTTTATATCCAACTGAGTTGTGCCTTTTGCTTAAGTAAAATTAAAAGCACTTTGCTAAGATCTTCTTTCGATACAAGATGCCTTTTTGTCAAAAATGAAGATTTTGAGACAAACAAAAATTGAAGTGATCTGTGGAAAAATATGAAAAAAGAACTCTAATAGTACATTTCATAGGGTAGCTTCTATTCTACAAACTGAAATATTAATAAAGGTAGCAACATTTATTTTCGAGTTACAATAATGAAAGTACAAAAGTTTATGGAAAAATTTTTCATTCAAACTACACGTTAACAAAATGCATTCACAATATGAACAATCTCAAACATGCTTACTTTCAATACTAACTTCTCTTAACACATTAAAATGTGTGTTTTTGACGCGTAAAAATGTCATTCTGTTCTTTATTAATCTTCTCACGTAGGTGAAAAAGTTATAAAATCGAAATAGAAAAAAACAAACTATATGTGTTCGACTTTATTTGATAAACGTGTTATTCTAACTATTATTATTTCATAAAAGCTTATTAGGCATATTATTCATTCAGGTTTGTATTAATTAATTAACATATAATTAATGAGAATAGACGAAAGTATATATATTGAACATTTGATAAATCAATATTATCGATTTTATTCTTTCCAGATTTTTATCTTTACGAATAGATCAATCAAGAAAAAGAGTCACAGCTCAATTGTAAGACAGATAGGCATTCTCTTTCTATTTACTTCTCTTTATATAACGTTTGTGTAGATTTCTTCGTCGATTTCTACAACAAACGTTAGTGTTAAACATACTTCTATCATAAGAGTTATTCAACATTGTGATAAACGGTTTTTTTTCTTTTTATCTTTAATAAATAGACGATCAAAGTAGCCTACGTCATATTAATTAAAGCGAAAGAATGGGAAAAAATATATTGTAAAATATTTCTTAGATAAGATACCGAACATATTTGCAATATTTTTTATTTTATATTTATCTCAGAGTGAGATCTTGTTTTTAAAAGATATTCCATCATAAACATTGCATAATTTCTATAAAAAAAAACTTCTATTAAGAATTAGTATATATATATGCGATATAAAATTGTCGCAAGTATTACGGCACACGTAATACATAGATTTAATTATCAATATGATTGATAAGCTTATATTTGCTGAAAGATTGCCAGAAATACCATTCTATTCCATATTCTAATCAAAATAATGAATGAATGAAATACTCACGACATGTTCTGATCGAAGAATACAATCCGTGTATAAGGTAAAATGCGACACGTTAACAGAGTCATATTTCTCCGTAAACATATGGTCACATTATGACCGCATCTTACAGTGAGAATACGATATTGTATACGGACAGTAATACTGAGTGTCTTATAACGACACAATATCATATAAAAATGGCCGTTTACAGTAGAATACAGTGCATAAATGTACATTTATAGTAATCCGTAACGATTAATATGGGTGGTATAAATTTAATATTGAAGTATTACTCTATATTTCTATGAGTGTACAAGATTTTATATGTTAACATAATAGAAAATTATTTATTGACGTTATCAACTTCATCGTAAAGAACTATATATGACTAATAGTTGAACGAATTGTCACTAGTGCGAAAAAAATGTACTCTAGTCTTTTATTATATGAATAACGAAAACAATATGAAAACAAAAAAAAAAAAGGAATTATAAAATTTGATATTTGAAGTATCTTTCTTTTTTGTATCATATTTTCATTGATGTCTTTTTCATTCTTCGCTTCTACAATGTAACATGTATCTGAAAACTATGCAAGAAGATTAAAATGTGATAAACTAAGTTGAATATAACATATTTTTTATTATTAATTATACAAAATAACTGTAATCAATTTTCTGAACTAATACTTTTCTTTTCTAATGTTTTTGTTCATCAAATCAATTAATAAAACATTTCTTTAACATTTCAATCAGGAAAAAAATTTCATCGAAATTCATATTATGATCGATGTTATTTATAACTATACTTAATTCTCTTATATATATATATGTGTATTCGGGAACCGAAATGATGAATATGTGGAAAGATCAATAAATATATATGGATGTGCATGTGTGAATCATACTTAGAAGCGATCGAGTATTTTTTTTAACCGAGTTGGTTCCAAGTACGGCGTGAGTAGTAGAATTCATCGGGTGCAAAATTTTCACATCCGAACTCGACAGGCTCTAGTGAATGTGTGGATTAATGTAAGTGTTAGTCTTCTCTTCATTTCCATCCACAACTCTACATACATACCTAAACCTACACGTTGAACGTTCTCGTGCTTATCATTTCCGTATAATCTTACCTTAGATTATATTTATCAATTATAAAATTAGTTGATATAATAGTTGCAAATAAACAGTAATGTAATGTAACCGAATATTTTTTTTAGATTTTATTCAAATCATTCCTAATTCTATTCTCAAAATTTTCAATGAGAATTAATCGATATGATCTGAAAAATAAATGACAGAAAATAGAAAAAATCTGTGCTGTACTCTTTTTCTACTTAAACATGTTTTGTATTCATACATGTAATATTTTTTTTTTAAATTTTCTCTCATTCATTTATCAGATTATGTCAAGTAATTCTCAATGAAAATTTCGAGAATAGAATTAGAAATGATTTGAATAAAATCTAAAAATGTATTTTGCTACCAATCAAATTGTTGAGCGCAAATATTTGATATCTGCATCATCGATCACGAGAGTAAAACAATTCTAGAGTAAACAAAATATGAAACCTATATAAACACTTGGACAAATATCGATTGAAGCTTTACTAGTAAAAAAGGAAGAATAAAAGTATTCATATTTCGAGCGACATAACATGAGAGAGCAGGACGCCATCTTGCTTTTGAACTTTACTGTTAATGGGTATGAACTATAATTTATGTTTACTTTACATAGTTCTACTTTAAGTATGAATCACGCCCCTGAATATTTTAAAATGTGGATGTTTTATTTATTCAGCATTTGTAAAAAAAAAATCAAACATATATGACTTTTTCTGCAAAAATACCTTCAAATTTTATTTAACATCGTGTTAAATACGAAACAAAAAACATATTATGAAACACTCTAATTTTATATTTTAGTGTTTCATTGTTAAAAGGGATACAAGATTAACATACTGTTTTTTTTGCAACGCAAATTTCAGTACCTTTTTTTTATTTCTTAACTAAAGTATAGTTGAATTAGATTTTATGACTAATACATTATTGAATATATATTAACGTTGAATGATTATTTACCAATACAAGTAACATGTTCTGGTTTATCATCATATTACAAATACCATTTTTGAAAATCTATTTTTTATAAGGATGAATAAATAAACAATGAAACCATATGACTTAATTTATTACAAATAATGAAAATTTAATATTAATAGCATCGAAAACATACGCATATTAGGTAAATCGTTCTTGTTGATGTTTCAATTAAAAATGATTTGTTACTGTTGGAATAAGTACTCTATCGTAGAATATTTGTCTTACAAAGAATAATAATAAAAGATTATACAACTGTATTCAAATGATGTAATATTGATAAAAGATTAATGTTTCAAAAAGAAAAGATCGTAATATTAAACATGTCTCAGACAAGAATAAATACAATAATGTATAACAATTAATAGACATATTAAGAAATGGGTAAACTAAACTTTGATCGAAAATACAAAAGGTCGATAAAAAACTTCATAAAAATTAAAAAAAACAATTCTAAAGAAAAGACTATTTTGAAATATGTTGCTATTGCATGATCAATATCGGCTTATGAGATGTGTGGTTGAAAAGAAGACACGCCACAGTCAGGTTATTATAATAGAATAAATTCTCATATTTATCGAAATTATTCAAATATATGAAATTCGATCAATTTTATCAAAGCAGAAGAAAAACATGTACAGAATATTATGTTTCAATGGTTTTGTGGTGCATCAGAGCAAAAAAGAAATAAATGAACAGCAGCCTTACAAAGCTGAATAAACATGTTGTATATAAACGATATAATAATTATCTCGTAACAGCATCTGATCTCTTTAATGGTTTGTCTTTTATTATAACAAAAGAAAAAAGTTATGATTGTACAATAAGAACATCATTCAAGGTCGATAAACTGATATTTCAAAATATTTTTTGCTTGTCTTTCATTTTTTCTTTTTCAATAATAAACATTTGATTCGAAGTTAGCTGCTTGGTTTTTCTTTGATTTTCTGAACGAGAAAATATACAGAAGTCTTTATCACAATTTTTGAAATTTTTACTTTCGATCGAGGTTCAGACAATTAAAAAATGCAGTTTTAGTCGGCAATTCAAAACTTGAGGAGAGAGTATGCAGTACACATATCATAATGAAAATTCTAAAGACCTGCAAGACCTACACCCTATAAAAATAAGGAGTGTATAGCATACATGTCATCAGTATAGTTCTGAGGATCCGCATGTCCCGCATTTCAGTTTGAAATCGAGTGTCGTTTTTTTCATCTAAATTCAGTTTGAAATCAAAAGAACCATAGTATAC